ACGTACAATAATTTCCACAGATATCACGACGGAACTAAATATAAAATAAGTTATTTGCAAATAACTCGAAGACAAATAAAGATATCGAATCGCGGTTTGCGCCAAAATCTAACTATTTTCATGGTCCTCAAGATCAATGATTCGAAGTAGTATCATTCCATTTGAATTTTTCGAGAAAATCCGAAAACATCGAATAGTCGGTAAACGACGCCCTCTAGATGGTGTGGTATAAACTAGGGACCCTGAACGAAGTCAGTTTTCAATTAATGTGAAATGATCTCTTAAAAGAGCCCAAGTTGATTGAATTTGGATAAGGGGTATGGAAGATAAAGCAATTTGAAAAATATCTTGTTCACAAGCTTCCCCCCACCATTATTATTGAAGATACGAAAACAAAATCTGGAGACGAAAACAACGATAAATTAATGATCCTTTTATTTACGTTATCAAAAAGTTACCTATTACAGCGATTTTCTGAGATAATTCGAATTTTTCGTTGTATCATAGTAACTTTGCCCCCTACCGGTCGTTTTCGAAACTTGAAAATATTTTCAGTCAATGTCTCATTGCCGATTTTGTCGATAGATTCGCCGACCTTAGTGGAACACCCTGTATAGACAAATTAAGGTATATACAAAAATTCCTTAACTATGCTTTTGGATGTATGATAAATTGACATTCATCATACAGGGTGTGGGAAGAAATTATGAATTGACACTCTATCACGAATCTGCGATCAGAGGTCTATAAAAATCACAAGTTTCCATCGTTCAAGTTTGTACCCCCTGATTGGGTATGATAGTGTTGAAAAGGAATATTCTCAGGATATATATTTATATGAAGCAAAGAGTAGAAATTCCCATCACATAGAGAATGCGAATTCTCAATATATTGCTTCATATAAATATATATCCATTTTTGTATGTTCATAATTTATCTGAGAAAATTCCTTTCCATTCCTTAAATAATTGTTACAGAAGAATATATTAAAAAAATCAGTTCACAATTTCATCGGTAGATTAGAACATACTAGCATATGAGAATGGCTGGAGAGGGAATTATTTCATTTGATTCACGATTCTGTGAGTATATTATGTTCAGATCGAAGTAAACTTGAAATTTATGATTCAAGTTTCGTTGCCTCTCATTGATATGTCAAGTTTACTCCCACAAAAGTATAAGCTCTCCTGTAAATTATAAGTGACTAATTCACTCTTTTTCTCGTTAACTAATCTGAATCGACCATTTTCACGGTTTCTATCGGGTTTGCTCTACCAATACAAAAGCCGAATGGACCCACACGTGACCAACCAACCTCGTTTTTTAGCGATACAATTTTTGACGTTTATAACGTCAATATCCACATAGCACATGTATGTCCAATGTACGTACAATGTGCGTCCACCTCGGATCGTAAGGATGTCCAATGGACGTACTTGAATGGACGTTTAACGTATAATTGACGTCCACTGGATGTCCTGAGGACACCACGACTTTGGACGTACAGTGGATGTCTATATTTGTACGTACAATGGATGCTCTTTTTTGTACTCGCAATGGATGTCGATATCTGAGCATTCATTGATCGTTCCAATTTGGACGTTGAACGTCCAATGGACGTCCATTGGATGTCCTGAGGATGATACTTGATAATGTGTATATCTCACAATATTTTGTCGGGCCCGATAAATTATTGTGAGATATACACATCATCAACTACCATCAGGGAAACATATTCATACATTAAAACTTCCATCCACGTGTATTTCGAAAAAGTTTTTTTCGAAATTTCAAAGAAGGGGCCTGTGGGGTTGATTTTTGGCCGACAAAATATTGTGAGATATACACATTATCAAGTACCATTAGAGGAACACATTCATAGAAAAAAAAAACTCCCATCCACGTGTGTTTTGAAAAAGTTATGATTTTTTTTCGAAATTCGAAAAAGGGAGGCCTGTGGAGTTGATTCTTGCCCGACAAAATATTGTGAGATATACACATTATCAAGTACCATCAGAGGAACACGTTTATAGAAAAAAACTCCCATCCACGTGTATTTTGAAAAAGTTATGATTTTTCTTTTTGAAATTACAAAAAAGGGGGCCTGTTGTGTTAAATTTTGCCCCACAAAATATTGTGAGATATACACATCATCAAGTACTATTAGAGGAACACATTCATAGAAAAAAAATCCCATCCACGTGTAATTTGAAGATGTTATGATTTTTTTTTTCGAAATTCTGAAGGAGGGGCTGTGAAGTTAATTCTCGCCCGACAAATTATTGTGAGATTCACAGATTACTAAGGACCCTCAGAGGAATACATTGATCGAAAATAGTTTCATTCACGGACATATTTTGGAGGTTTTAGTAATTTCATGGCCAGCCATGAATATAAATCAATAATGAACGACTAGTGGTGGTATGGCGCGCGCCTGGAGTATTTGGCGAAGTCGTGGCTGGAACTCGTGGCTGGTTTCACACTGATATAGTATCATTGATTATGTTTCTGCTAACTAATGTATTCATTTTTTTGTTGTTTGCTTTTTTGCTTGCATCTTTACTTCTTCAAGTGTCTACTCTGTATCGTTTTTCTCAGACCTTGTACTCTGTAGAAATGAATAAACTATCTTCTAGGTACCTAGTTTGAAAAACATCACACGCTACGCGTCGGGTATCAAACCTCACACGCGGGAGGAAATGGATAACTTTGCTCCCTTGATATATAAATAGCTATTGCATCATATGCCTGCAGATCTGAATTACTGCGTGCGAATATTGCTTCTCTGACCTTTTCGCGCTTTTATGAGATTGTTCGGTGAAAAGACAGTACTTGATTTTTTTCATGCCACTATTGATTAGAAAATTGGCAACCTTATGCAAAAAATGTGAGCGCATCAATATTTTAAAATCGATTTCACTCTAAAATAAAACATCTGATCGATGCGGAACAGGAGCACCTTTTTTTGTGAAACGGTGTGGATTCTCATAATCCTAGATTAAATTGTTGAAAAATATGCATACGAAAAAGTTTGAGCAATATTTAATGTAGTCCCACCCTGTATTATACAGTCCTGAAAGGAACCCTGAAATGATTTTATGTTTATCGCATTGGGCATGGAAAGTTCAGTTTCTGGTACCAAATTGCATCATTTTATCACGTGGCGTTTCGGAAATATTGAAGAAATATCATCTTCAGGAGCCCCCTTTCAGGGGGCCGTATCTCCCTTAGGAGACATTTCTCGACTCATGTTCGTTGAAACTTTTCTTCTTATTTTTGGTCGAAGAAGCCGATGGTGAAGTTTGGCAGGCTAATTCCGGGACACCCTGTAAATATATGTTTGTATGTATGTTGAATTTGTTTTCTTTCTCAAAAAATTCATCTTATGTTCATGAATGCGGTGATTGAACGTTTGACCTGTCTGACCGGTATATGCCTTACGAAAAGATGCACAGTTCAGTTTGTATATCCCACATTTTTCGAATTTAGAATTTTTGTCTTTATTATTTTTCGTAAACCTTCCCAACGTGATTTTCTTTCTATATGCTACTTTTGAGTCCTGTTTATTCAGAAATGAAGCTAATTTTTCAGTTGATCCGAAATGGGTTGAAGTTCTATAATTTTGATTATTATTTTTGATGGTAGGATAAACTGCTTGAATTGCTTTATGACAGTTTTTTTAGAAAGAATTAACGTCGTATCCGTCGTTGATAGCAATCTGTTTTATGATATTGAGTTCTGTGATATATCATTCAATTATTCGCGAAAATCACGAACCAATAGATGGCTCTATTAAACGTCAAATCAACGTCAAAGTTCCATCTGAGTATGAACAACAAAAACATTGCCGTATGCACTCCTTGCAAATTGGTTATTTCCAAATCATTTTGCAAAATAGTGAATAATAAGTTGACTTCTTGAAATACGTACAAGGTTCCCAGTATGGGAAAAATTACTTTTTGTGCAGAGAAATTGCCATTTTGATGTGGACAATGGTGGTATTCATCATTGATACCACACTACAATCCCACAGTTTTCAATCATATGGAATGATCGGAATGGTCCACTCAACACTTGCATGGACTGGAATGGAACCATGCAAGCAATCAGCTATTACAACAATATGGTATAGGTATGAAGAAATAATTGAATTCATCAAGAAATATCACTGGCTTTTATGAAGGAGATGGAAATCTAGTGAAGGGGTTGGAAAAGAAGATATGGTTGGAGAGGCTGCTTAGAATGAACAATATCATCGATTTACATAAACAAGGATCTCCAACAATTGAGGACTTGAAGTTATTCTCAAGATCGAATCATTGCAACCAACATTTATACAATGATTCTAATTGTGCTTCAGAAAATGTATATTATACTATTATAAGGTAGGTTTCTTCATTGTAAATAATGAAAGTTCATGCAATAATTCGAGTTTTTTCATCAGGAAGAAATGAGGTTCTGGAATATGCACTTCAACAAATAAATTATTTTCCAATATAACACATATTTATGAAATTCAAAGCAATGGTCCCCATATTTGTTGTTCATACTCGCAAGACTTGTACAGTTAGCCACCAGAGGCCGCACACTTCGTGATTTTCGCGAATAGGAATGTTTTCGGATGTATGATAAATTGATATTCATCACGTGGAAAAAAATTCTGAATTGAGGAAACCTGATCACGAATCTGCGATTGGAGGTCTATAAAGATAACAAGTTTCCATCGTTCAAGTTTAATCCCCTTGATTGGGTGAAAGTATTGAAAAGGAATATTCTCATATAAATATAAAGAAATATATTGAGAATTCGCATTCTCCATGTGATGAAAATATCATTTCTTACTCGGTTTATTCAACAGAAAACAACTACTTTCCTGGTTATATGCCACGATTGAATTACATCTATTCACGATAAGAATTTGAAAACAAAATCTTCTGGAGTAGAGAATTTGCTGGTATTTTATATTAATGTTCGGTTGATTGATACATACCTACTTGTAGATCAACGAATCGGAATGCCAAGAAAGAAAATCAGGAGTCGCCACCAGACAGCCCAACTAAGTAAGTTTCACCATTTCATTACGGTATAGCTCTCAAGCTTCCTCATCAAATGATCAAGATAAATAGCGAGCGACAAAATAGTGCAGGATAAATAGCGCGGGGCAAAATACCGACATGAAGAAATAGCATTCACTAAAATGGATCCAATCGATAACCGCTGTATACAAATTTTCAGATCAGTGGTATTTTAAAAATCCGAATACGTCTAATATGCAGATTAGACAAAATAGCCTGTATTTTGTAATATACTAAACTCTCTCTCTTTACACAAGATTGGATATTGTAAAAATGGTCTGTTTCAGTGAAAAATCTCATTTCATTATTTTGAAGTACTAACCCATTCTTGTTCAATGTCGTGAACCGTATTCTTATCAGAGCTCTGTACACTCTTCAGAAAATAATTGAAATTTACGACATTTCATGACATGAAAACGTGGGAAGACACGTGATTTCATATGCCGCTATCAATACATTGCAATTATATACGATACGACCGATGTATTGTGTGTATTTCAGTATGTGGAGATGTTTTCATTGGTAGTTGAGCAATAAAACACTAATGGTGTTAATCGGAGGTGATTATTTTGATTATTGAAAAAATATACATATGTGATTATTTCAAATCATGAATGACTGTATCAAATGATTTTAATATTTACATGGAATGATCACAATGAAACAGAAATATGCCGTAAATTTGACGAGTGTCCATTCATCAAGTTTGAAAAAGACCCTGGTATTTCTAAGATTTACTGAGATTATATTGGTTCTCTGAAAATTCGAATGGTATTCGGCAAGATTTCTGTGAAATCTTCAGAGATTTCACGTAATTCGTTGAGCATGCTCAAGCAGGCGTTAATTTATCGCGGCGGAGTTTCGTCCTGCGTACTATTGTCTAGGTGCTATTTTTCATCCGCTATTTTGTCGATCATTGTTTTCACTTGATGCATAGCCACAATCTACATTTAACTAAACATATACTTCTTATTCCTAGAGTGAAAAGAAAGAGCGGGAAACGTGCGAGGGTATTAAGTAGTGATGATTCCGAAGAAGAAATGTAAGTATAAACGGTTGAAGATTCTTCTATTAATAATACTTTATGTTGGTACTTCAGACCAGTGAAAATTGATCAAGATGAAGAGAAAGTTGATACCATCGAGAAAGCATCTAGAAAATTTGTGCCCAAGAAACAGAGGTCGTCTGAGGATAAACTACTAGCAGATACAATGCAGAAAAAATCTGAAGTAAAGGAATCTAAAAAATTGGAGAAAGAAACAAACACAAGCATCACGAAGGAGCCTGAGAAAAACATATTTGGTAATTTTGAATTCTAAATATTTTTTCATGCAATCTCACTCTGAATTGATCATTCCTAATACAAAGTAAAAAGGTCTGAAACCTGAGTGTTTGCTTTGAGCGAGTTCAAAGGCACCGTTAATATCAATGACTTATGTAATGTTGCCGGACGTTCATACAATAATAGAATTGAAAGATGTGGTACATTTTTGAGTTTCAATAGTTTTTCGAAAATAATGGTAACAGGTATTTTGTTCACATTCTTGAATTCAGGAGAAAACTTATGAATGTGAAGCATTAGTCTTTTCTAAGTAAAAATTCCAATAATTTCGATATCTGGATTTTTTCAAAGTTGCTTAAGTCACCTTTTTGGAATATTCTCTGTTTTGTTCCATTTTATGGGAAAAATCGGAATATATCCTTCCTCAATCATATTGTTTATATTCCGCTTTTGAAGTCAAGATAATGATACTTTGAAATTAACTTTATTTTTTCAAATAGAAACATGATTGGCTATACAGGCTATAAACCGCACAGTAGGCGTATTTGGAGTTCAAAAAATGACACTGATCTGATAATTTGTCTATAGGGGTTATCGATTGAGTTCTTTTCAATGAAAATTCTCTCAAGATGGCGGCACTTTCGGGTTGAACCGGAAGTGTCATTAGTTTCACTTATCTTAAACGGAACACCCAAAATTCTGATCACCCTGTATCTGTTTCAATTAAATGTCAGTAGATAGTAAATCAAAAGATATGGACAGGTAAGCCTTTTTGGCAAATTATCAATAGTTTCAACACAGAATTAATATTTTCATCACGAAGAATGTGAATTCTCAATGTATTTCTTAATATATATCTATTTTTTTTGTGTTCATAAATATATCTGAGAATATTCCTTTTCGAGATATTGTTCGTCATAGAAATAGCCATCAGGCCCAGTTCACAACTAATACATGAAAAATCTCTCCGAAATATCAAACTATACAGCATGTTGCATTTGTTATTCTGCAAGCTGACAATTCATTTGTGGAATGAATGAATAATGACGATCTCTTCCTGGATAATGAGGTAGAAAGTTTGCACGTCAATGTACAGGGTAGCGTTTTGATTGCCGTTATAAGACCTGAATATGATCAAAAATGTTTTCTTGATGACAATGAATACTTAACTAGTTTTAGTAACTAATTCGGTAAAATTTTAAAGAGTTGGGATGGATTCTCTAGTGTCAATATAAAATATAATAAAAAGTCATCTAAATCGTCCAGAATGTATCCATCGTTTCGTGATTGTTGTGGAGTAGCCCCAAAATATCATTGTGTTAAAAAAAATGATCTATAGTTTCCGAGCCACTCTACAAAATTCGGTATTGATACAAGAGGATGTTATGATTTTAACAATATCCAGTTATCGAGCGTTCAGAAAATACAAACGCATTGATTAGAACACACTAATTACGCTTTCATAAATCAGGAGTAATGAGAATATCTCCCTCTTGTCGTCATAAAACTTACCAATTTCGACGGGCCTAGTGTGCCTCGAACATCTCATTTCACGCCTTATGAAGAGTGTGGACACACTTGTCATATTATAAAACAGCTGAACAAAAAACACGAGACACAAATATATTTTATAAGAGATGGAATGTCATTTTTCTGTACCCCTCCACTGAACGAGTGCAGACATATTATTAATATTGAAAACCATAACAGTGGCGTAACACCAAAGACACATGAAGCTGATTTTGTAGTTATATCAATATTACATCATTGAATGTATTTCCATGAAATGAACATTTGCATTTGAAGTTTTAACGAACACTTGAGATCTCTTCTTGTCTTTGAGCAACACAAATATAAAATTAATTATAATAGATGTCATTGACAGCCAGTAGAGTACATAGTTTCAGATAATAAATGAATGAATATATTCGACAGTTATTGCTTAAATAAACGCGTTTATTCACCCATGTATGTGGCTCGTCAAAAGGCAGAGTTCCATCTACTCAGATGGTGCACAGGGCTAGCTCTGAGCAGCTCACTCTTTCACTCAACCTTATTAGATCTAAATAAATCTTTGTTAATCTAATATAGTATTTCAATTTTCATATGTGAATAATTATATCATGAAATAATATTTTCAGTGCGAAAAAGTCATCAGTTATAATTTCATGCAGGTGAGGTAATAAGAGCAGTCAACATATCCTTTTTTATTTCTCTGTTGAAACGATATCTGCTCATTTGTTTATATTTTGACGGAATCCAGTTATACGTGTTTGTAACGTTATAAGAAAATGAACCACGAAATGCATGAGTTTTATGTCTTGGTATTGTGAGGCAGTTTCTATCTCATATTAATATTATGAACATCATTTCTGGAGCGAATTTTATTATATAGATGAGGGGGGTTATGTGTAGTGATGATTCTGTGGAATAGACCACATGCATTTAGTGTTCTACGTTGTGTAGTCAACCACTTATATCCAGCGAATACTTCGTATATGACGGGAAGTACGCGCTATCCTTTTTATGCCACATATCAATCTAGCACACGAATTCTGTAGTCTTTGCAGCCTATTTGAATCGATTTGTCGGATGATTTTACCATAAATAACATCACCGTAATTAAGGTGTGACAGATCTAAGGCATTGCATAACATAATTTTAGATCTTTTGTTGGGGATCTTTCTGTGCGCATATATTGATTTCGAATTATTGAAGCCTCTGCGAATGATAAGTGAAACATGAGGAGTGAATTTAAGATCTGTATCGATGATTATGCCAAGATTCTCACAGGATTGTTTCAATCCAATCTCCATTCCATTTTATTTTTATAAGATGCCTACAAAGTTTTTTCGTCACATTCCTGTCACACAGCACAACATTTGACTTAGACGCATTTATTGTTAGACCAAGTTTATACGAGCCATTGACTGATCTAAATGTCGTTCCTCAAATTGGTAATGAAGTTGAGTGTCATCAGCAGAGAAGTGGCCCGAGCAATGTCAAAGATTTTATAAGTTGGCTTATATAAAGCACACAAAGCAGTTGTCCTACAATAGACCCCTGCGGTACACCACTTTCAACTTTGATCCACTCAGACTGTTTACGTCCAAGTATAACTAACTCTCTGATAACATTTATTGGGTAAGTATTGATAAGGAAACTGTCTTTTTTCTAAAAACCCAAATATTTCAGAAAACTTACTAACATTGAATGATCGATCCTATCAAAAGCCTTCGAGTAATCGGTAAGTATCAGAATACAAAGATTGTTTACATCAACCGCATGGAGAATATCATCGACTACCTTTGAAACAGCAACACAACGCAAACACAACTATCTGATGGTCTAAACCCAGACTGACTATTGTTTTCTGAAAATTCTCGAATCGGACCATTTGAGACTTTTTCGAAAACTTTGGATAAAACTGGTAGCAGGCTTATTGGACGTAAATCCTTGTAGTCTTCCGGAGAGTCAGTTTTGGGTAATGGGATTACATTCGCTGTTCTTCAAGCGGAGGGATATACAGACTTGTTGATACAATGGTTGAAAATATGTGTAATGAATTGTAATAAGTTGGGGCTGACTAATGTTAACATAAGCAGAAATTTCATCTGAACCTACAGCTTTTGACTTAATAGCAAGTATATGACGGAACACTTCACGTTCTTTCGTTAGTTTGAATTCAAAATTAACTGCATTACTGATATAGCTGTTCTAATGGTTCAAAGTGTCCTGGTCAATTATCAAATTATCTCTAGAGCTATTGATAAAATAATTATTTATCATATCAACGTCAGACAAATGTTCAGGTATGTTGTAGTTTTTTTCATTGTTTTTCATGTTAATATCTTTGAATTCTTTCTATAAATTCTTATCGCCAGACTGAATTCTGTTCCAAGTATGCTTTTTCGCCGTTCAATGTGGAGCATGTGAATCTAAAATCGACAGCAACAGTCTATTAAATTCATTTATTTTATCATAGATATATCATCAGATATATATGTATTTTTCTCTCGAAATCTGCTGATAATAAGTCTGTCGTAAGAAGGTCTTTATTCTGATTCTGAGCAGAATATCACGTCAATCAATTTTTTACTAGTTTGTGTTATTCTTGTAGGTTCCAAGACGACTTGTTTCAATTAAAAATCATTTCCTAGATCGAGTAGTCGGTTGGTATAAGAATTATTGATATTCAACATATCAATGTTGACATCACCCATTATCAAGACTTGATCATATTTGAAACTAATTTCAGATAAAACATTTTGTAATTCATATATGAAATCAGAAACGAGAAAATCATCGGCAAATAAACCGTGCCCACAACAAAGGTTTTGTTTTCTGATTTCAAACTAACCCACAGTTGCTCACATCTAATTTGCAGGTCAGTTTTCACACAGCGACTAGATAAGTTAGCTATCAACTAAATAGTATCAAAACCTCCGCGCCCTGATCGACGATATAGTCTATGAAACTTGTACCATAGAATTTCAACAGAAGAATATTTAGTCAGGTCTCGGATACAGAAATTATGTTATATTCATTATAAATAGTATCTTTTTGAAATATGAAAAATGACTTGTAAGGGACCTGACATTTACGTGAGAAATCTTGTGAACCATGATGACACCAAGAGAGAAGTAATAAAATGTAATAAAAAGTAATCGAATATCACATTTGCGATAAATTGAGGATCTACTTCCTTATTGGTTTATCTGCTACAGTGCGAGATATTTGGTGTGATTTTTGGCTTTTGAGTATTCTGGGGTCTTCTGAGTTCTTTCCTTGAAGTTACTCTTGAGTTTGATATTTCACAGAAGGCTTTGGTATATTATTTATGAGTTCTTCATTCAATTCTTAGTGAGTATATTCCTTGTTTTCTATTGGGCAATTTTTCTTGATTTTCGCTTCGAGATTCTTGATTTGGCAAGCATAAGATATGTGCGAAGAATTCGTTGAACCTTTTGGTTTCTTTTAGAAAGATCGTGGTTGATACAGACGTTTGTATTTTTGAGTTTATGACTGCAATTTATCACTTCTTGTTCCTTAAGGTTGGTAGACAATTCGACAATAGTGGGACGATTAGCATTTTGTGGATTTCCAATTTTGTAGACGTTGTTGATATCGCGAGTAGGATCGATCTGAACTCCCAATAAGCTATCAAGTTGCTTTATGGTGCCGTCCAATAATGTTTCATCATCAGCTGGCTCATGGAAGCTAAAAATAACGGTGTTATTACGCTTCAATTTGTTTTCCAGATTATCAATCTTTGAAGTACAGAGTTCTCTGCTTGCAAATCTAATATATGCTGATTGCATTGGTGAGTTTGTCCTCCTCACTAGGTGATAGATCATCAAATTCTCTCTCAAGCGCCTTATAATCAGCCTCAAATAGTTCTAATAGTTCGTGATTTGTTAAATCCGACATGTTCCACGTGATCTTGCGTTACCAGTACTGCCCAACGTCCAGTGTATTACTGTACTAGCAAGTAAGCAATAGCAATCAACGAACAGGTGCAGAGTCTAGCGTCGATATGAGCGCCTCGTATAGGTTCTGCGCGGTTTATGCTTAATGGTTACTTACTGTTTGTGTGGCCTTTGTAGAAAAACAAAAAAAACATAAATAGGCACTAAACACTTCACTGAAACTTTTTTCATGCACTTGATAACACACTGTGAAGTTAGTAACTTTTATAGGATGTCGACTCAACTCATATGTTCATCTCTTCATTATTTTAACTGTATGCAAATCAAAATGGTAACCATCATTCTTAGAATGTTTGCAATTCGTTACCGTTCAAGAGTTATTCGAAAATATTTTCTCGGAGACGCCCATTCAATTTTCAGAAGTGACGTTTTAAATCTGAAAATGATGACAATTCGGAAATGTCAGTGGTGACAAGCGTGTCTAGTCGGGCCTATGCTGATGCTTCCGTTGATAATATTGAGTGCCATTGTCTCATAGTAGGAGGTACGTCACTAACGGAAAAGAAATACCTAATACCTGATGAGGATTCAGGATACTGTCAGTGTCATTTCGTTGACGTCATAACTACCTAACGATTCACCCTGCATACATGGAACTTTTTTAAAAATTTGGAATTGACTCGGCCGTTACTTGATGGAAATCCATGGCAAATGTAAAAACTTCACAAACGATAAGATTTTCACAAAATTCTCAAACACACGACATGTTTCGCTAACACAGTAGCTTCGTCAGGTGATATACTGGTACAATGAACCAGTATATCACCTGACGAAGCTACTGTGTTAGCGTGAGAATTTTGTGGAAATCTTATCGTTTGTGAATTTTTTACATTTTTTAAAAATATACTATTTTGAAAAATAGATCAACTTACTCCAGCCTTTTTTTTTCGACAATATTCTGATTTTATTCCTTACCTACTCATGGACTATATATTTTTTCAGGAATTCAGAAAGCAGATAAGTCCATGAATAGTGACAACTACAAACCTAACTCCCCTAAATATCACCCAATAAATGATGCCATTTGGAAACATCAAGATAAGTGAGTACTATTTATATCATTCGTCATCCCTGTATTTTATGTGTACCCGCAGAATGCGTTACCAATGTTACTTTTGGTGAGACGGCACTAAACGATACTCTAGCGTATTATTATGATACCACATCAATTTGGAGCACGGCAATATGGTCAATCAGCTTCTTTCATTCCATAGTTATTTCACAGTCAGTGTGATGAATTGGCACTGATTCATAAGTTATTATTGATGATAATGTTCAGGTTCCGATACTTCTGTACTGGTAAAAGTCATCAATCTGGGAATACATAACCTGTAGAAGAATAGTATATTGTTTAACGAGCACAGAATGATAGTAATATCCTACGATAATGAAGTTTGCAGCCGTAGGCGAATGTTGCAAATCATACGAGTGGGAAGTTAGCATCCCGTGCGAGTTGTACACTACTTTTTCTACGGTTGTAACAGATAATAGCGAAATTTTTGATTCCTTCGGCTTGTAACCATCTGATTTTCTCTTGGGAAATACTCTTTCAGTTAGAGCTCTCATTGCTTGAAATTTGACATTTCATGGGAGATGAAATTTATTGTTAAATAATAACACAATGACATTGGTGTAAAGAAATGAAATCATCAAAAGACATATAGTGATTTATCGAAAACAGTAAAACATGAGCAATTTTGTGTTATAGCCGTAGAAAAATACATTTTCAGAACAATTTGTCACAGGAGATCAAAGAAGTTTAATTCAGCAATTCACAAACTTCACCTCATTTCCAATCTGATAATTGAGTATTTTTCAACATTTCAAATTTCTAGAAAAAACTAGCCGAAGCCATTGTCCATTAAAAATGTGCGTGGACTTTTCAAAAATGAAAATGAATGAAAAAATCGAATTGAAAGTTCTATAATGAACACTATATTATTACGAATAATATTTAAAAGAATAAATTTACAGAAGAATCAGCTAGGCAGAACTGATATACTTGAACTTGTTGATGATTCTTATAATCTATTCTATCATGAAATCAAAAGTTCAATGAACATTATAGGCCTGTTCGTTTGTGGTTGCTCTACCTGCTGAACTTGATCTTTTTCTATAACTTTCTCTGTTTAGATCATGCTATGAACAGATATAACGGGAAAAAATTAACTTTGACAAGTTCAGCAATACAAACGAATGGACCTAATGTTTCCTGTAAAAAATGTATAGTATTTCATTATCATTCATTATTATTTCATGACGAAAAGTTTTATAAACATTTTTAGAATAAAGATATTAAGAAAAGTGAATTCAATTATATGAACAACAAGGAAAACAAACATAATTGTGATCTGACTTTGACAAGTCCACGTGTATAAAAATTCAGTAGGAATATCACATATTGTGGATCTAGCTTTTTACACAGGGGTATATCCAGATAGTCGTGAAATAAAATGTATAGGTGCCATTGACAAAAAAGGGGTTGGAAATGATTTAAAAAATTATAGACCTATCAAGCTACTATCAAACGTGAACAACATTTTTGTAAAAGTATTCGAAATTGTAACATATAACTCAGAGAGAAATTATATTGTTACAAAATCTTAAAAAAACTATAAGAGGAAGAAAAACACACCATGGCCAGTATGTCACGTATATATATTTCATGGGTTAAATTCTCGAGAAAATGAATGAACAAATCCACATTAGGTAAACAATTGTTCAGTTTACTCAACTGATATAACTCTTATATACTTCCTAAAAATTTAGTGGATGATTCTGCAAAAGCGTGTAGCATGTTTGATATACATCCTGTATGATAGGAGGTTGAATTATGTTGGTAGCTAGGTGTCAGGTTGTCAGGTAACGAGATTGATTAGAGAGGGTTTTTAGACAGAGATGTCGGGCAGACGTCTAGAGACGTAAGATTTTCATACTAACTCTAAAAACTACGTTTGTACCCCCTGAAGTTTTGAATAAACAACCAAAAAAGCAGAAGTTATATTCTTTGTGAGAAGAGACTTGTTTCATTGGCGCCCAACGTTGGTTAAGTAGAAGAGATTAGGAAGAAAGAAGTAGAAGTAGTGTAGCAGTGAAGGTTGAATCTTTTCAAGTGCACAACTTGAAACGCAGGGATACAAAGTGGAATACAAGAACTTCAGATCCAAGGTAGGATCTTTTCAATTTTGCTTTGAAAGAAATTTGAAGATTTTGGTTATTAGAACAGAACATCGCTATTTTGTTGATATTTTGTTTGGTTGTTATGGTCGATGTTTTCATTCAACTGTCGAAGACAATAAAACAACATAGTCGCTTGAAGTCCAGCAGCTGATGATACAGAGTGTTCATTAAACTGACAGGAAAAATGCCTCCTAAAAAGTCAAAGAAAGTTAGAAAGCACAAGGATATGAATTCCGAAGAGGAAACTACGCTTGACAGAAGTTCATCTGGTGATGATTTTGAAGAAATCGCTCAGTTATTGCGAAATAACAATATATTATTAGATCGATTAACCAATTCCATACAATTTTCAAATAATCAAGTGGTAGAAAAAATCGAAACTTCTATTGATACTGTTAATGAAAATATGTCCGAGATAGCTCAGAATATTTGCAGCTCAGTTGGGGAAATGAGTAATAAAATTTTGTCGAAATTTAAAGATGTAGAATTAGGCCATTCTGTTCAAATTGAAAATTGTCAAGCTAATAAGAGTGATGGAAATGATATGTTAGAGGTAGAATCTGGTTACAGTAGAAACTCATCGTATATTATACTCTTCAGAGAACTTGGTGGTTCAAATATAATATTCAGACCTGATGACTCAAAGCATCCGGTTTCTTTCATTTCTGAATTGGAAGAAATTTTTATGGAAGCGGGCGTACCTGCGAATAAAATGGTAGGATTTGCTATCAAAGCTTTAAAAGGACCAGCAGCTGACTGGGCATACATTAAAAAAGATCAATTTCATAACTTCGATATTTTTAAGAGATTATTTATGGATCGGTACTGGAGTCAAACTAGGAAACGGGAAGTATTCTCTGAATTAAAATTTGGCATATACAATGGGGGTTCAAAAGGTGATTATTTCATAAAATTAGTGAAGGAATCAAAGTATTTAGACCAGAATTTTACTGATGAAGATTTAATCAGTATGATTTCATCTCACTTCGATTTCGAGACTAGGAAGGGAATCTTCAATGGAGGTTATCATAATATTGATGAAGTTGAGACATACCTTAGAAATATAGATGCACTGTACTCACAACGAGGAGTGACATCTCATCAAAGTATCCGTGTTAATTCTAATAATTATAATAGAAATTTCATTCCACCGGCATCGAATATCTACCGTGATTCGAGACAAAATCGTCGGACTGAAAATACCGTTAATAATACTCCCTATCCTAGTGATAGAAATATTAATCGAGATTGGAGACAAAATCGTCAAAATGGAAATGATACTAGAATAATGCAGCATGATAATATCGAGATAGGTCAAACAGATAGGCATGAACACGAGACAAATTTTTTACAAATAATTGAAGATAGAGACACTAAAAAAATTTCAAATAATATGCTTTTCGAACAAAAAAGTGATTGGTTGCTAGAGGAAGGGAATGATAGTGAAAAAGTTAAGAATGTTATGCCATTAGTGGAAGGTGATGTCGAAGGTATTTCCACATCTATTTTAATCGATAGTGGCAGTCAATTGTCCTGTATATCGCAAGGATTCTTTGAAGAGCTTTGCAGACTGAATAGTAAGCTGGCTGTTTTGCCAGTGAACAATACCGTCATAGTAGGAGCTTTGAAAGGTAAAGGTAAGAAAATCAAACAACAAACTTTAGTGAGATTTATCATACAGGGTGTTTGGTTTGATTTTGCATGCGTCGTTGTACCATCCCTGGTACGCAACGTAATTTTAGGGTGTGATTGGCTCTCTGATTTCAAAGTTAAAGTCTGTTTTGATACTCTGACTGTGAAAGGAAATGCGAATGGTTGTGAAATTGTGATACAGTTTAGGAGCGAAAGTATTGATACTGAGGGTTTAGTTATTGCCGAAATAAAAGAAGTTGGTGATAATAATAATTGTCTCGAACGGGTGGAAGATCTAAATGAAAATTACAGATATGAAGAAATAATGAATGCGATACAAAAAACTGAGACTTTCGAGGGTGCATGCAAAGAAAATTTCAAATCATTGATGATTGAATTCAGTAACATTTTCTCGAAAAAACCGGGAAAAATAAGGAATTATGTTCATCGCATTCGAATGAAAAACGATGCGCCGTTTTTCATTAAACCTTATCCTATTCCTTATATTTATCGTACCGAAGTCAAACGTCAAATTAAAGACATGATTGAGTGGGGAATTATTAGGGAAAAACAAACTGAGTATGTGAGTCCACTAGTTGTCGTGAGAAAGAAAGATGGTAGTCCAAGAGTTTGTGTTGATGCTAGATTTTTGAACAGACAAATGGAGAAGGATCACGTGATTCCTCCAAATGCGTCTGAATTATTATATCATATCACTCCAGGTGCATTTCTCAGTACGCTGGATCTAACTATGTCCTACTGGCAAGTAGAATTGTATGAACCGGATCAGAAATATACAGGATTTTTGTTTGATGGTATCACCTATGTATTTAAAGTTCTTCCATTTGGATTGTCTACATCCGTAGCAAGTTTCATTCGTGCTTTGAACACGGTGTTAGGAGAGGAAACACGAGATTTCGTCATCCCGTATGTTGACGATTTGTTGATTATCTCCCAATCGTCAGAGCAGCATTTGGAACATCTTCGAACCGTTTTTCAGAAACTTGATAATGCGGGAGTAAAATTGAAACTACAGAAATGTAATTTTGCACGTGAAGAAATTCAGTTTGTTGGTCATATGATTAATTCACGTGGTGTTGGGATGCAACCAGAACGGGTTCAAACTATCATGAATTTTCAAAAACCACGTAACATCAAATCGTTGAGGGCCTTCTTAGGATTAGTTAACTATGATTCTCGTTTTGTAGAACACTATTCTCATTTAACGTT